AACCTCCACAGAAACAGAACCAGTTTCAGTCACCTTCTGAGTGGGGAAAGAACCAACCTCCACAGATACAGAACCAGTCTCGGTCATCTTCTGAGTGGGTACAGGAACAATCTCCACAGATACAGAACCAGTTTCAGTCAGCTTCTGAGTGGGTACAGGAACAACCTCCACAGATACAGAACCAGTTTCAGTCACCTGAGTGGGGATAGGACCAACCTCCACAGATACAGAACCAGTTTCAGTCACCTTCTGCGTGGGGAAAGAACCAACCTCCACAGATACAGAACCAGTCTCAGTCAGCTTCTGAGTGGGGACAGGACCAATCTCCACAGATAAGGAACCAGTTTCTGTCACCTTCTGAGTCGGGAAAGGACCAACCTCTACAGATACAGAACCAGTGTCTGTTATCTTCTGAGTGGGTACAGGACCAACCTCCACAGATACAGAACCAGTCTCGGTTATCTTCTGAGTGGGTACAGGAACAACCTCCACAGATACAGAACCAGTTTCAGTCACCTTCTGAGTGGGGATAGGACCAACCTCCACAGATACAGAACCAGTTTCAGTCACCTTCTGCGTGGGGAAAGAACCAACCTCCACAGATACAGAACCAGTCTCAGTCAGCTTCTGAGTGGGGACAGGACCAATCTCCACAGATAAGGAACCAGTTTCTGTCACCTTCTGAGTCGGGAAAGGACCAACCTCTACAGATACAGAACCAGTGTCTGTTATCTTCTGAGTGGGTACAGGACCAACCTCCACAGATACAGAACCAGTCTCGGTTATCTTCTGAGTGGGTACAGGAACAACCTCCACAGATACAGAACCAGTTTCAGTCACCTTCTGAGTGGGTACAGGAACAACCTCCACAGATACAGAACCAGTCTCAGTCAGCTTCTGAGTGGGTACAGGACCAATCTCCACAGATAAGGAACCAGTTTCTGTCACCTTCTGAGTCGGTAAAGGACCAACCTCTACAGATACAGAACCAGTGTCTGTTATCTTCTGAGTGGGTACAGGACCAACCTCCACAGATACAGAACCAGTTTCAGTCATCTTCTGAGTGGGGACAGGACCAACCTCCACAGATAAGGAACCAGTTTCAGTCACCTTCTGAGTGGGTACAGGACCAACCTCCACAGATACAGAACCAGTTTCAGTCACCTTCTGAGTGGGGAGAGGACCAATCTCCACTAATACAGAACCAGTGTTTGTTATCTTCTGAGTGGGTACAGGACCAACCTCCACAGATCCAGAACCAGTCTCGGTTATCTTCTGAGTGGGTACAGGAACAACCTCCACAGATACAGAACCAGTCTCGGTTATCTTCTGAGTGGGTACAGGAACAACCTCCACAGATACAGAACCAGTCTCAGTCATCTTCTCTGTGGGGACAGGACCAACCTCCACAGATAAGGAACCAGTTTCTGTCACCTTCTGAGTGGGTACAGGAACAACCTCCACAGATACAGAACCAGTCTCAGTCAGCTTCTGAGTGGGTACAGGAACAATCTCCACAGATACAGAACCAGTTTCAGTCACCTTCTGAGTGGGGAAAGAACCAACCTCCACAGATACAGAACCAGTCTCGGTTATCTTCTGAGTGGGTACAGGAACAACCTCCACAGATACAGAACCAGTTTCAGTCACCTTCTGAGTGGGGATAGGACCAACCTCCACAGATACAGAACCAGTTTCAGTCACCTTCTGCGTGGGGAAAGAACCAACCTCCACAGATACAGAACCAGTCTCAGTCAGCTTCTGAGTGGGGAAAGGACCAATCTCCACAGATACAGAACCAGTCTCAGTCAGCTTCTGAGTGGGGACAGGACCAATCTCCACAGATAAGGAACCAGTTTCTGTCACCTTCTGAGTCGGGAAAGGACCAACCTCTACAGATACAGAACCAGTGTCTGTTATCTTCTGAGTGGGTACAGGAACAACCTCCACAGATACAGAACCAGTCTCAGTCAGCTTCTGAGTGGGTGCAGGAACAATCTCCACAGATATAGAACCAGTGTTTGTTATCTTCTGAGTGGGTACAGGACCAACCTCCACAGATACAGAACCAGTTTCAGTCACCTTCTGAGTGGGGAAAGAACCAACCTCCACAGATACAGAACCAGTCTCAGTCAGCTTCTGAGTGGGTGCAGTAACAATCTCCACAGATATAGAACCAGTTTCAGTCACCTTCTGAGTGGGGAAAGGACCAATCTCCACAGATACAGAACCAGTCTCGGTTATCTTCTGAGTGGGTACAGGACCAACCTCCACAGATACAGAACCAGTCTCAGTCAGCTTCTGAGTGGGTGCAGGACCAATCTCCACAGATATAGAACCAGTTTCAGTCACCTTCTGAGTGGGGAAAGGACCAATCTCCACAGATACAGAACCAGTCTCAGTCAGCTTCTGAGTGGGGAGAGGACCAATCTCCACAGATACAGAACCAGTCTCTGTTATCTTCTGAGTGGGTACAGGACTGGATGCAATAGATATAGAACCAGTTTCAGTCATCTTCTCAGTGGGGAAAGGACCAATCTCCACAGAACCAGTTTCAGTCACCTTCTGAGCAGGGACAGGACCAATCTCCACAGATATAGTCTCAGTTAGCTTCTCAGTAGGTACAGGACCAATCTCCACAGATACAGAACCAGTCTCACTAAGCTTCGCAGTGGGTACAGGACCAATCTCCACAGATAGAGAACCAGTCTCCGTGTGCTTCTCAGTGGGTACAGGACTGGATGCCACAATTATGGAACCAGTCTCCACAAAAAGGGGTCTAGAATCAATCAGCTTCTCAGTACGAAGAGTGCTGGATGCCATAGAAGGGGGACTAGATGCAGCAGGCAGGGAGGTGGACTCATCAAAAGGGGGACTGGATTCAGTCAGATTCTTAGATGGAGCAGGTAGAGGGCTGGACACCACAGGGATAGGACTAGATGCAGCAGACAAAGGGTTGGACTTTACAAAAGTGGGGATAGACTCAGTCTGTTTCTCAATCTTAGAAATTGGGAGAACAGTCTCCTGAGCAGAGAGACAACTGGACAATCTCAACTTTGTATCAGCCTTAGCCAGCACAGGACTAGACTCCTTGGTGATATGGGGGCTAGAAATTTCAAGTGGGTAAGGGATAGAGCCATTTAACTTCCCAACAACGCCTAGAACAAAGAGACTTAAATAAGTTGCAATTTTTTTCCCCCATGGTCTAGTATTAAGTGTAATAATTTACCTCTTTGGATAACTATCCCAGTCGTATTCTTTAAAGAAAGCAAAACCGCCAAGTTACACTTTGCTACCACTGGCTGTGATGGATTTTCAGAGTCTGTAGTAGGGAAAAACAAAAAAGTTAATTTCTCATCAAGGTAACTACATATTGTGTGCAATACCATCATTATCATAGTTGCAAACCTTTGCCCTCCAAGTCAACTTGTTTAACACCACTTCGGTGGAAAGGACAACCGATTGGAGAAGTACATCCTGAAGACAAAGTGTCAGGTTAAACAGGAATACTGCATGTGTACGCATTTTGATAAATGAAAAAGTATAAGCAATTTTACCATTAAGCACTAACGTGTACCAAAGAATCGCCCCAACCACATATTTACAAATCACCATCTTGACTGCAGATTGAACAAGTCAACCCAGTCCTGCTTTCAGACAGCTAACCAAGGGTTTTAAAATATTCCAAATTTCCACCACCTGGGTTTCTTGTTAAGGTGAAATTAATGTCAGGTGACCTACTTGTTAACTCTCTAATGAACCCATTGGTTGGATAAAAACTCTTTAAAGCACAGTATAATTGATCTCCAATGCAAGAAACATGCCTATTCATAGGGCCAGAGAAGTCAAGCTTATTTTTCAATTTGAAGACCAGTGTTTGGGAGGCCACACAATTTTTTTCTACCTAAAATAATAAGAATCTTTGAACTTATAAGCAACTTCATTATATTTCTAGTTTCAAGAAAAATCAGTTAGCTTCTCTGCATGTTATTTGCTAACGTGTTTCTGGTAAGTTTAGCTCCAGCCCAAATCAAACATAACTGAACAAACTAATCAAGTTCTTTTTTTGAAACTTCCAAGAAGGTTTGTTGAGGCAAGTTGGAGCTAAACTCTGCTGGGACACTAGTACTCCAGGAAAAAGTTTGGTGAGCCATAGTCTAAACCAGGGGTCACCAAATTTATTCCTAGAGAGCCAGTCTGCAAATTCTAGCTCCAACTCTAATTAAACTAAAGCTAATCAAGGTCTTACCAGGTATACTTGAAACACCCAAGAAGTTTTGTTGATTCAAATTGGAGCTAAACCTTGCATGGCACCAGCCCTCCAGGAACTGGATTGGTGACCCCTGGTCCAAGACATTATTATAGTTATTTAGTATAGACGGTTCTTAGACAGAAGGAAATATCAATAACTGGTTATTTTAAAGAGACAGACATATTTAACCCATTTCTGGAAAACTTATTCAAAATACCACATTTACTTAATAGAATAGTTCAGACACTTTCAGCACTTAAGGTACACAATTCAATAACTATTAAATAAGTCACTTTTGTACATGGAAAAGTCTTTATGTAAGTCAGATAATGTCAAACAATACATCACAATTTAATTCATAAGTTTTACTAACTTTAGCTTTCATACAACACATTGGTGTAGTTAGTCAATCTACAGAAATACATTTTGAAAATCAAAAAAAAAAAAAAAAAAAAAACATTTAGTGAGACTAGAAACTTTACTTTGAGGCTTGTATAAAACCTTAATTAGAATTTCTTTTAATAATAAAAAAATATATATATATAATTTTATTTAACACTGCAAGTTCGACTGCTTTACTTACAGCCCAACCAAAAAGGTAGGCTTGTCAGCTGTAATTTGTATACTGATTTACACAACTGTTAGCATACTAAGTTCCTTTCTTAATTTGATATTTATTAGGTGACACTTTAGTAGCAAACTGAAACTTACACCGATCATATCTTAAATGTGCTTTGCAAAGCATGAGGAACAAGTCAAAGGATTGAGGGGAGAGAAGAGAAAAAATAAAAACACAACCAAACTCAGTTCCAGCAAGTAGCCAAGTTTATTAAAAATATACATTTAGAGAAACAAATTTAGAAATGCACACGTTTAAAAGCACACCCTTTTTTCTTCAAGCAAGCAATTAAACGCTGAGCTGACTTGTCATTGGGGTGAAATCTAGACTTTACCTTCTTCCAAAATGCATGAGGATGGTGAGAGCCAGACTTGGACTTGACAGGAAAATGGCCAGAAATTTCAAATGAACCAGATTCAGTCATCTTTCCAGTAGTGAGTGGGTTGGATACCAAATACAGAGAGCCAGATTCAGTCAGTTCTCCGGTATTAGGTGGGCTGGACACCACAGAGAAATACCCAGATTCAGTTAGTTTCTCAGCAGGGAGAGAGCCAGACAATACAAAGGAACTAGACTCTGTGAGCTTCCCAGTAGTGAGTGGGCTAGAAACCACAGAAAGAGAACCAGATTCAGTCAGCTTCCCAGTAGCAGGTGGGCTAGACACCGAGGAAGCAGTTTCAGTTGACTTGTCAGTTGGTAGAGGGCCAGACAGCACAAGTGACCCAGACTCCGCAAGCTTCCCAGTAGACAGTGGGCTGGACACCACAAACAAGGAACCAGATTCAGTCAGCTTCTCAGTTGGCTGAGGGCCAAGCGCCACAGTGAGGGAACCAGATTCAGTCAGCTTCTCAGTTGGCTGGGGGCCAAGCACAACAGTAAGGGTACCAGATTCAGTCAGCTTCCCAGTTGGCTGAGGGCCAAGCGCCACAGTGAGGGAACCAGATTCAGTCAGCTTCTCAGTTGGCTGAGGGCCAAGCGCCACAGTGAGGGAACCAGATTCAGCCAGCTTCTCAGTTGGCTGGGGGCCAAGCACAACAGTGAGGGTACCAGATTCAGTCAGCTTCCCAGTTGGCTGAGGGCCAAGCGCCACAGTGAGGGAACCAGATTCAGTCAGCTTGTCAGTTGGCTGGGGCCCAAGCGCCACAGTGAGGGAACCAGATTCAGTCAGCTTCTCAGTTGGCTGAGGCCCAAGCGCCACAGTGAGGGAACCAGATTCAGTCAGCTTCTCAGTTGGCTGAGGGCCAAGCGCCACAGTGAGGGAACCAGATTCAGTCAGCTTCTCAGTTGGCTGAGGGCCAAGCGCCACAGTGAGGGAACCAGATTCAGCCAGCTTCTCAGTTGGCTGGGGGCCAAGCGCCACAGTGAGGGAACCAGATTCAGTCAGCTTCTCAGTTGGCTGGGGGCCAAGAGCCACAGTGAGGGAACCTGATTCAGCCAGCTTCTCAGTTGGCTGAGGCCCAAGCACCACAGTGAGGGAACCTGATTCAGCCAGCTTCTCAGTTGGCTGGGGGCCAAGCACAACAGTGAGGGAACCAGATTCAGTCAGCTTGTCAGTTGGCTGGGGCCCAAGCGCCACAGTGAGGGAACCAGATTCAGTCAGCTTCTCAGTTGGCTGAGGGCCAAGCGCCACAGTGAGGGAACCAGATTCAGTCAGCTTCTCAGTTGGCTGAGGGCCAAGCGCCACAGTGAGGGAACCAGATTCAGTCAGCTTCTCAGTTGGCTGAGGGCCAAGCGCCACAGTGAGGGAACCAGATTCAGCCAGCTTCTCAGTTGGCTGGGGGCCAAGCGCCACAGTGAGGGAACCAGATTCAGTCAGCTTCTCAGTTGGCTGGGGGCCAAGAGCCACAGTGAGGGAACCTGATTCAGCCAGCTTCTCCGTTGGCTGAGGCCCAAGCACCACAGTGAGGGAACCTGATTCAGCCAGCTTCTCAGTTGGCTGGGGGCCAAGCGCCACCGTGAGGGAACCAGATTCAGCCAGCTTCTCAGTTGGCTGGGGGCCAAGCGCCACCGTGAGGGAACCAGATTCAGCCAGCTTCTCAGTTGGCTGAGGCCCAAGCGCCACAGTGAGGGAACCAGATTCAGCCAGCTTCTCAGTTGGCTGAGGCCCAAGCGCCACAGTGAGGGAACCAGATTCAGCCAGCTTCTCAGTTGGCTGAGGCCCAAGCGCCACAGTGAGGGAACCCGATTCAGCCAGCTTCTCAGTTGGCTGAGGCCCAAGCACCACAGTGAGGGAACCAGATTCAGCCAGCTTCTCAGTTGGCTGGGGGCCAAGCGCCACAGTGAGGGAACCAGATTCAGTCAGCTTCTCAGTTGGCTGAGGCCCAAGCACCACAGTGAGGGAACCAGATTCAGCCAGCTTCTCAGTTGGCTGGGGGCCAAGCGCCACAGTGAGGGAACCAGATTCAGCCAGCTTCTCAGTTGGCTGAGGCCCAAGCGCCACAGTGAGGGAACCAGATTCAGCCAGCTTCTCAGTTGGCTGGGGGCCAAGCGCCACAGTGAGGGAACCAGATTCAGCCAGCTTCTCAGTTGGCTGAGGCCCAAGCGCCACAGTGAGGGAACCAGATTCAGTCAGCTTCTCAGTTGGCTGGGGGCCAAGCGCCACAGTGAGGGAACCAGATTCAGTCAGCTTCTCAGTTGGCTGGGGCCCAACCGCCATAGTGAGGGAACCAGATTCAGTCAGCTTCTCAGTTGGCTGGGGACCAAGCGCCACAGTGAGGGAACCAGATTCAGCCAGCTTCTCACTTGGCTGAGGCCCAAGCGCCACAGTGAGGGAACCAGATTCAGTCAGCTTCTCAGTTGGCTGGGGGCCAAGCGCCACAGTGAGGGAACCAGATTCAGCCAGCTTCTCAGTTGGCTGGGGTCCGAGCACCACAGTGAGCGAACCAGATTCTGTCAGCTTCTCAGTTTGCTGGGGTCCGAGCACCACAGTGAGCGAACCAGATTCAGTCAGCTTCTCAGTTTGCTGGGGTTGAAGCACCACAGTGAGGGACCCGGATTCAGTCAGCTTCTCAGTTGGCTGGGGGCTAGACAAAGTGAGAGAAACAGAGTGGTTCAGTTTTTCTGTAGGGAGAGGGCTGGATGCCACAGAGACAGGACAAGCAGCAGACAGTGCGCTTGACTTCACAGTAAGGGAACCAGATTCAGTCAGCTTCTCAGTTGGCTGGAGGTTGGATACAACTGTGAGGGAACCAGATTCTGTTAGCTTCTCAGTTGGCTGTGGTCCAAGCACCACAGTGAGAGAACCAGATTCAGTCAGCTTCTCAGTTGGCTGGGGGTAGGATACACATGTGAGGGAACCAGATTCAGTCAGCTTCTCAGTTGGCTGGGGGTTGGATACAACTGTGAGGGAACCAGATTCTGTTAGCTTCTCAGTTGGCTGTGGTCCAAGCACCACAGTGAGAGAACCAGATTCAGTCAGCTTCTCAGTTGGCTGGGGGTTGGATACAACTGTGAGGGAACCAGATTCAGTCAGCTTCTCAGTTGGTTGGGGTCCAAGCACCACAGTAAGGGAACCAGATTCAGTCAGCTTCTCAGTTGGCCGGGGGCTTGATACCACAGTGAGGGAACCAGATTCTGTTAGCTTCTCAGTTGGCTGGGGTTCAAGCACCACAGTGAGGGAACCAGATTCAGTCAGCTTCTCAGTTGGTTGGGGGTTGGATACAACTGTGAGGGAACCAGATTCAGTCAGCTTCTCAGTTGGTTGGGGTCCAAGCACCACAGTAAGGGAACCAGATTCAGTCAGCTTCTCAGTTGGCCGGGGGCTTGATACCACAGTGAGGGAACCAGATTCTGTTAGCTTCTCAGTTGGCTGGGGTTCAAGCACCACAGTGAGGGAACCAGATTCAGTCAGCTTCTCGGTTGGCTGGGGGTTGGATACAACTGTGAGGGAACCAGATTCAGTCAGCTTCTCAGTTGGCTGGGGTCCAAGCACCACAGTAAGGGAACCAGATTCTTTCACTTTCTCTGTTGGCTGGGGTCCGAGCACCACAGTGAGGGAACCAGATTCAGTCAGCTTCTCAGTTGGCCGGGGGCTGGATACCACAGTGAGGGAACCAGATTCTGTTAGCTTCTCAGTTGGCTGGGGGTTGGAAACCACAGTAAGGGAACCAGATTCAGTCAGCTTCTCAGTTGGCTGGGGTCCAAGCACCACAGTAAGGGTACCAGATTCAGTCAGCTTCTCAGTTGGCCGGGGGCTTGATACCACAGTGAGGGAACCAGATTCTGTTAGCTTCTCAGTTGGCTGGGGTCCAAGCACCACAGTAAGGGAACCAGATTCTGTCACTTTCTCTGTTGGCTGGGGTCCAAGCACCACAGTAAGGGAACCGGATTCAGTGAGCTTCTCAGTTGGCTGGGGGTTGGATACAACTGTGAGGGAACCAGATTCAGTCAGCTTCTCAGTTGGCCGGGGGTTGGATACAACTGTGAGGGAACCAGATTCTGTTAGCTTCTCAGTTGGCTGTGGTCCAAGCACCACAGTGAGAGAACCAGATTCAGTGAGCTTCTCAGTTGGCTGGGGGTTGGATACAACTGTGAGGGAACCAGATTCTGTTAGCTTCTCAGTTGGCTGGGGGTTGGATACAACTGTGAGGGAACCAGATTCTGTTAGCTTCTCAGTTGGCTGTGGTCCAAGCACCACAGTGAGAGAACCAGATTCAGTCAGCTTCTCAGTTGGCTGGGGGTTGGATACAACTGTGAGGGAACCAGATTCAGTCAGCTTCTCAGTTGGCCGGGGGCTGGATACCACAGTGAGGGAACCAGATTCTGTTAGCTTCTCAGTTGGCTGGGGTCCAAGCACCACAGTAAGGGAACCAGATTCAGTCAGCTTCTCAGTTGGCCGGGGGCTGGATACCACAGTGAGGGAACCAGATTCTGTTAGCTTCTCAGTTGGCTGGGGTCCGAGCACCACAGTAAGGGAACCAGATTCAGTCAGCTTCTCAGTTGGCCGGGGGCTGGATACCACAGTGAGGGAACCTGATTCAGTCAGCTTCTCAGTTGGCCGGGGGCCAAGCGCCACAGTGAGGGAACCAGATTCAGTCAGCTTCTCAGTTGGCCGGGGGTTGGATACAACTGTGAGGGAACCAGATTCTGTTAGCTTCTCAGTTGGCTGTGGTCCAAGCACCACAGTGAGAGAACCAGATTCAGTGAGCTTCTCAGTTGGCTGGGGGTTGGATACAACTGTGAGGGAACCAGATTCTGTTAGCTTCTCAGTTGGCTGGGGGTTGGATACAACTGTGAGGGAACCAGATTCTGTTAGCTTCTCAGTTGGCTGTGGTCCAAGCACCACAGTGAGAGAACCAGATTCAGTCAGCTTCTCAGTTGGCTGGGGGTTGGATACAACTGTGAGGGAACCAGATTCAGTCAGCTTCTCAGTTGGCCAGGGGCTGGATACCACAGTGAGGGAACCAGATTCTGTTAGCTTCTCAGTTGGCTGGGGTCCAAGCACCACAGTAAGGGAACCAGATTCTTTCACTTTCTCTGTTGGCTGGGGTCCAAGCACCACAGTAAGGGAACCAGATTCAGTCAGCTTCTCAGTTGGCCGGGGGCTGGATACCACAGTGAGGGAACCAGATTCTGTTAGCTTCTCAGTTGGCTGGGGTCCGAGCACCACAGTAAGGGAACCAGATTCAGTCAGCTTCTCAGTTGGCCGGGGGCTGGATACCACAGTGAGGGAACCTGATTCAGTCAGCTTCTCAGTTGGCCGGGGGCCAAGCGCCACAGTGAGGGAACCAGATTCAGTCAGCTTCTCAGTTGGCCGGGGGCTGGATACCACAGTGAGGGAACCAGATTCAGTTAGCTTCTCAGTTGGCCAGGGGCTGGATACCACAGTGAGGGAACCAGATTCTGTTAGCTTCTCAGTTGGCTGGGGTCCGAGCACCACAGTAAGGGAACCAGATTCTTTCACTTTCTCTGTTGGCTGGGGTCCAAGCACCACAGTAAGGGAACCAGATTCAGTCAGCCGGGGGCTGGATACCACAGTGAGGGAACCAGATTCAGTCAGCTTCTCAGTTGGCTGGGGGTTGGAAACCACAGTAAGGGAACCAGATTCAGTCAGCTTCTCAGTTGGCCGGGGGCCAAGCGCCACAGTGAGGGAACCAGATTCAGTCAGCTTCTCAGTCGGCCGGGGGCCAAGCGCCACAGTAAGGGAACCAGATTCAGTCAGCTTCTCTGTTGGCCGGGGGCTTGATACCACAGTAAGGGAACCAGATTCAGTGAGCTTCTCAGTTGGCTGGGGGTTGGATACAACAGTGAGGGAACCAGATGCAGTCAGCTTCTCAGTTGGCTGGGGACTAGACACCAACGTAAGGGATCCAGACCCACTCTGCTTCACATTCTTAGTTGACAGGTCAATTTCCTCAGATAGACACCCTGATGGCCTCAACTTTCTAGTTAATTCAGCAAGTGCAGCACTAGACTCCTTGGTAATGTGGGGACGGGACACCTCAGCAGAGAACGGGATGGTTTGAGGCAACCCCTTAATACCTATTAACACATCTGGTTAGTTTCAGCAACAATTTCTCAGGTTTTAGTGTCAGCACGCAAGTTACCTCTTTGGATAATTAGTCCAGATGCATTCTTTAAAGCAAGTAGAAGAGCCAAGTTAGATTTTGCCATAATTGAATGTGTTCGACCACCTGAGGGAGGGATAGAGGAAAGAAAAATAAATATATACACACACACAGAAATACATACACACACATATACATATACACACACAAACCTTCACTCTTAGAGTCACATCGTTTAACACCATCGTGGTTAAATGGACAGCCAATTGGAGAAGTGAATCCTAAAGACAATGTGTCAGGTTAAACAGGTAAAAACTGATATGCACTATAAACGGTAGAAAAGGCAAAAGCAACTTTACCATTGAACATCAACTGACACCATAACAACACTGCAACCAAACATTTACAAATCACCATCTTGACTGCAGCTTGAGCAACAGTCAATCTAGTCCTGCTCTCTGATCAGACAGCTAACCAGAGGTTTTAAAATAACACAGATTTCCACCACCTGGGTTTCTTGTTAAGGTGATTAATGTCAGGTGACCTACTTGTCAACTCTCCAACGGAACCATTGGTTAAATACTCATAGCACAGTAACATTGATCATGGGGCCAGTAAATTCCACATTATTTACCAATATGATTAAGACAAGTGTTTGGGAGGCTACACGACTATATTTTACTGCCTAGATTATTATTTACAAAGTACTGAGAAATAGACAATAATACTAAATTGGGCTACTCACAAATGAGCTACTTGTAATACAACAAATACACTTTTAAACAAGTCTGTGGAATATTAGAAACTGTACTAATTACATAATTGAGTCTTAATTGTTTTACTGACAATACTTTAAAAGATTTGTGGGTCTTGTTTGAAAAACATTTTTATTGTAGTTCAGAAATAAGCTAAATATACAGATGTTGGTCATTTGCTATGTTCACTCATATTCATTTAAATTTCAAAATACATGTACTTTATTATGTAAATATTGACTTTGGGTGGTGAAAGTATAGGCTATTATTATAAGTATACAAAAAACTATTTGAAAGCATCTGACCACATGTACAGTGCGTTTCCAAAAACCATCGTTAGTCATCTAAGGTTGTAGTTTCCATCATTACAAACAGCTAATTTGATGTCTCCCAAATCCATCTTTTTAATGAACATTCACAAACTTGTACACTTGCAACTACACCTCTAGAGCTGCAGTTAGAACCATAATTCCTGGTTGTGTTCTATTCTCAGTTATCCCCCCTATGCTCTATTCCTTTCAACAGTTCCAGCATTTAAATATGGAATGATTAAAGAAAAAGCACACATTAAATTAATCTCTCTTATGTGTTATTAGCTTTCATGTCACAGATATAAAACTACTCTGTTATCTTCTCAGTGGGGACAGGACTGGATCCCACAGATACAGAGCCAGTTTCTTTTATCTTTTTAGTGGTGACAGGACCGAAGAGAGGGGTCTGAATGCAGAACACCACCACCATTATTTACTACAATGCTTAGGAGTCGATCAGCACTGGAAGTACACAAGTTATTTTTTAATTACTATTAAATGAGTCAGAATTGCACTGCATGAAGTAGGGTCTACAGATAGTCACAGAAATGCCAAACTGCACTGCAAGTCTCACCAATACTTAAACTTCATCTTTCAAACTGCAACACATTGTGACCACACCCTGAAGATAAAACCGTACATAATCTGCAGAAATACAAGTTGTGAAAAATCCATCAATATAATCAGGACTTTCAGTGAGAGAATAGAGCCTTTAGTTTAAGGCTCAAACCATTGTGATACTTTAATAAATCAGCGGTTTAATTAACAGTGAAATCATTTATATCAAAAATCTTTAATGCCAATACCTAACTATGTAAATGTATTTTTATTTAGCACTGTTAGTGCAACAGCTTAACTTCCTTGAGCCCATGCAAAAGTAGGTTTGTCATCTGTAATCCCTATCCTGACTCACATGAATGTTGGTGTACTACTTTCCCTGGTCTTAATTTGATATTTCAGTGGTGACCCTTAAGTAACAGATTTAATTTACACCCAGATCATGCCAACAATTTTAGTTTAGCAGAGCATGAAGCAAAGTCAATAGGGGAAGAAAACTCAAAACACAACAACTCCAGAAAGTAGCCGTTTATTAAAACAATTAATTAAAAAAAAATATAAAAAAATTAGAAATGCACATGCCTAAGAGTACACCCTTTTTTTTGCAAGCAAGCAAATAAATGACGAGCAGACTTGTCATTAGTGTGAAGACGAGACTTGATCTTCTTCCAAAAAGCATGGGAAACATGATGGCTGGACTGGGGAACAGACTCTATAGGGAGATGACTTGACACCACAGAAGGCAAACCAGACTCCTCAGTAGGCAGAGGGCCGGAAAACTCAAAGGAATCAGATTCATTCAACTTCCCAGAGGTGAGTGGGTTGGACACCACATAGAAGGAACCAGATTTGGTCAGCTTACCAGTGGTATGTGGACTCGACACCACAGAGAGGGAACCAGATTTAGTTAACTTCCTAAAAGGGAGAGAGCCAGACAAAACAATGGAACCAGACTCTGTGAGATTCCCAGTAGTGACTGGGCTGGAGACCACAGAAAAAGAGCCAGATTCTGTCAGCTTTCCAGTAGTATGTGGGCTGGACACTACATAGAGGGAACCAGATTCAGTTAACTTCCTAAAAGGGAGAGAGCCAGACAAAACAATGGAACCAGACTCTGTGAGATTCCCAGTAGTAAGTGGGCTGGACACAACATCGAGGGAACCAGATTCTTTCAACTTGCCAGTAGCAGGTTGGCTTGACACCGCAGAGAGAGAACTAGATTCATTCTGGTTTCCAGTAACAAGGGGGTTGGACACCACATAGAGGGAACCAGATTCGGTAAGCTTATCAGTAGGGAGAGAGACAGACAATTTAAAGTAACCAGAATCAGACAGGTTCCCAGTAGAAGGTGGGCTAGACACCACATAGAGAGAACCAGATTCAGTCAGCTTTTCAGTTGGTAGAGGGCCAGACAAAAAGGAACCAGATTCAGTCAGTTTCCCAGTAGTGAGTGGGATGGATACCACATAGAGAGAACCAGATTCAGTCAGCTTGTCAGTTGGAAGAGGGCCAGACAATACAAAGGAACCAGACTCTGTGAGCTTCCCAGTAGTGAGTGGGCTAGAGACCACATAGAGGGAACCAGATTCAGTCAGCTTGTCAGTTGGAAGAGGGCCAGACAATACAAAGGAACCAGATTCAGTCAGCTTCCCAGTAGCAGGTGGGTTAGACACTAAAGAGGAGGAAGCAGTTTCAGTTGACTTGTCAGTTGGTAGAGGGCCAGACAATACAAGCAACCCAGACTCCGCAAGCTTCCCAGTAGACAGTGGGCTGGACACCACAAATAGAGAACCAGATTCAGTCAGCTTCTCAGTTGGCTGGGGGCTGGATAACACAGTGAGGGAACCAGATTCAGTCAGCTTCTCAGTTGGCTGGGGGCTGGATAACACAGTGAGGGAACCAGATTCTGTTAGCTTCTCAGTTGGCTGGGGTCCGAGCACCACAGTAAGGGAACCAGATTCTTTTACTTTCTCTGTTGGCTGGGGTGTGAGCACCACAGTGAGGGAACCAGATGCAGTCAGCTCCTCAGTTGACTGGGGACTAGACACCAACGTAAGGGATCCAGACCCACTCTGTTTCTCATTCTTAGTTGACAGGTCAATTTCCTCAGATAGACACCCTGATGGCCTCAACTTTCTAGTTAATTCAGCAAGTGCAGCACTAGACTCCTTGGTAATGTGGGGACGGGACACCTCAGCAGAGAACGGGATGGTTTGAGGCAACCCCTTAATACCTATTAACACATCTGGTTAGTTTCAGCAACAATTTCTCAGGTTTTAGTGTCAGCACGCAAGTTACCTCTTTGGATAATTAGTCCAGATGCATTCTTTAAAGCAAGTAGAAGAGCCAAGTTAGATTTTGCCATAATTGAATGTGTTTGACCACCTGAGGGAGGGATAGAGGAAAGAAAAATAAATATATACACACACACACAGAAATACATACACACATACATACACACACACAAACCTTCACTCTTAGAGTCACATCGTTTAACACCATCGTGGTTAAAGGGACAGCCAATTGGAGAAGTGAATCCTAAAGACAATGTGTCAGGTTAAACAGGTAAAAACTGATATGCACTATAAACGGTAGAAAAGGCAAAAGCAACTTTACCATTGCAGCTTGAGCAACAGTCAATCTAGTCCTGCTCTCTGATCAGACAGCTAACCAGAGGTTTTAAAATAACACAGATTTCCACCACCTGGGTTTCTTGTTAAGGTGTTAGGTGACCTGCTTGTCAACTCTCTTCTTCTTCCTGTTGTGTTATTGGCGGTTCACATTCTTAAATAGAGCATTACCGCCATCTACTGTGGGTTATAGATCAGAGACTCATTACTTTTCCTTTAGACCAGTGGTTCTCAAACTGTGGTACGTGTACCATTAGTGGTACGCGGGCTTCCTTCTAGTGGTGCGCGGAGGACTCAAATATGTAATATGTACATGCTACACACATTTCAAAATTTATCAAAAATGATTTATATATGAACATGACATATAATAATATTCATTATATGACATATAGCCTTTATTTCTGAGGTCCAGGCATTTTCAAACATGTTGTACCTTCAAAGATTTTTTTTAAAAACCAAACAGAATGAAGGTAAATAAGAGTGTCTTGTATACAGGAAAGGCTAATATCAAGTCAAAGCTAATCGCTGAAGCCATCTTTCATTTCTTCACAATAAACTGTAGAAATGTCATCTCACCACTGTCCTTTCCATCACCACACACATTTATAAAAAATATTTAAAAGGAGACTACCTAAAATATACCTTTAGAATACCTAAAAGGAGGGTGAATAGTATGAAAAATAAATAATAGAAAGGTAGTACATTTTTTTAAAGTAGATTTTTATTGTTAGTTCGTCAGAAAAAAAGGAACTTGAACAAAATTATACGTATTTTTCTTTTAATATAGGATCAAAGAACATAAAGGGGCCGTAGTTATGAATTACTCATATGCTGGATAAGTTGGTGGGTCATTCCGCTGTGGCAATCCCAGGTTAAAAAAGGTACTAAGCCAAAAAGAAAATGAATGAATAAATGAATTAGAAATCCCCCAAAAATGCACTTAATTACAGTAATGTGAGTAGTTGTAATTCGTTACCTCCACCACGGGCTATTTTGAGCTGAAACTCAACACACTCAAGACACATAAGAGACACATTTGGCATCTAGTCAAAAGTGGCATAATTTGTTTGCTTTAAAGGGTCGTGACACCCCCCTCTTTCGGTTCAGGTCTACCTCTGAATTTTTTCAAAAGATGCATCATAATGGGCGGAGCTCCACGAGCAGAGGGCAGGAGTGGGCGTGGCCAGCAGAGCATGGGAGAATGAGGGGAGCGAACAACTGTGTCAGTCGCCTCACAAAATGAGACTCAAACCGTGAGACGCATGAGTTTATAGTTTACAAAGTTAAAATGCAAAGAAATAATCAGTAATTTAATGCCCTGCTATATTTGTTATTCATAATTTCATACACAGATAACAACAATCTATATCATTATAAAGACAATCGAGTTCATATAAACACTATAAATGAGGACGTCTCCCTCAATCCCCGGGTCTGAATGCAGACTCAGTGCAGCAGGTCTCTTGCCCTGTCTGTTTTAACCATTAGCCCTGCTGGTAATCTGGAGGATTTAGGTGAACACAGCAGCACGGCGATGTGTCTAAATGTGAACGAATTCCTGATAAAAGACGACACAAACAGCTTTGCTGTATCGGCCCTGACAGCATTGCGGGGAAAAACATGCAACAAACCCTGTGGATCATGGAAACAAACACACACGACCCTTCATGAACGGCTAAATACTGTGTGGTGTGGGTCCGTGTCTCACAGCTTGGCACTGGCAGGTCTGTCTAGCCTTTGGAAAGCATGCGCAGTCATGAATAATTAAGAAGCCGGCTCTTATTATAGGATAAGAAACCTCCGCTATGAATAATAATGAGAAACCGATGCGTCATCTTTGCACTTGCAGTTTTGCGAAATTATCCACTTTCCCCTACAATTAAAGCTGACAGGAGCTCAAGTTAGCTGTTTGCCCTTTAATTGTGATCTTTGGTGTTCCCTCTCAGTGTCAACCTTTAAACCGGAGACACGCTGACATTGTGCATCTCTTCTCCCTAGGTGCAGAATACTTTTGTCTTGGACCTCCCCACAACCCCCCTCTGTTTCATTATGGCTCAAAGATTTGCTCTTCTTTTTAAAACTTGAGAAAATTAAATACAATATCAGAGGTAGGGGAGAACATATGGAACAAAATCGATGCCAAAAGTCTCGAATTAAAAAGCTTGTTGAATAGCACAAACTTAAAAAATAATACATCGTATTAACAAGTTCTTGCATTTTAATGACTTGAAATCCAGGGTTTGTATTTTTAGGTCCTGAAATTTAACATAGCCGTTTATTTAAGCTGTGAATATTTAAATGAAAAAATATTTCAAACATGTTTTCATACTTAAAAATTCAATAATTCATATTCAATTTAATCTAAAAATACAAACCCTGGAATTCAAGTCATTAAAATGCAAGAACTTGTTAATACGATGTATTATTTTTTCAGTTTGTGCTATTCAACAAGCTTTTTAATTCAAGACTTTTGGCATTGATTTTGTTCCATAATAACATTTTTTTGAAAAATGGCAACAATTTATTGCATTCTTTATTCACTTAGATGTGGATTGAGTGAAGGTACATGTGTATGTATATATATATGGTTTGTTATTATATTTTTTCTGTATTTGTATTTTATTTTATTTATTATTACTTTGTTTATTTTATTTATTTATTCATTTGTAGATGTTGTTTTTTTTGGGGGGGGGGGGTGTTTTGTGGATCGTTATAAAATGTAAATTGCTATTTGCAAGAATAAAAATTCCATGACAAAAAAAAAAATCTGACAGGAGCTAACATTATCTTAACTGATGCTCAACACACACACACATCTGTTAACATGTCAAAAAAGTGCTCGAGGGTTTCGAGAAGGAATTTGAGAGAAATTAGTCAAAGTGTCCTCAAAAGTGCTCAGCCTGACTCTGATGTCAGTTTGTGCATCTCATCAGAGGGTGGCGCTGTCCACACCAGCAAAGCTGAAGCACAAAACCTGCATTCTTCTGAGAATTCCTCAGCATGTCAAAACAGGTCAGCACAGCTATGTGTGTGTGTGTGTGTGTGTGTGTGTGTGTGTGTGTGTGTGTGTGTGTGTGTGTGTATGTGTTGGCGTTAAATTGTCTGTGACAGCATTTATTAAAACAGAGAGTGGGTTAGTTTGAAAGGTTATAGTTAGCTTCACATCACTAAGGCATCTCTGAATAGCACCAGACTCTAATAAAGATCTCTGTGTGTGTGTGTGTGTGTGTGTGTGTGTAATGTGTGAACTGCATTTAGTCCTTCACTCACTCTCGGTGACACTTTTTCATGATCTGCCCACAATCTCTCACTTCCTCGTTTGCCTAAAAAGGGCATATTATACGAGGGAAGTGTGTGTTCTGTGTGCGCGCGCGTGTGCGTGTGTGTGTGTGTGTTTTGCTGTATTGTTAGGACAGTGAGACGTGAGGTTGTTTTGCAGTGGTTTGGTGAAGACATTTTAAATCGTGAACTGAGTATATCTGAGAGTGTGAGAGATGCAGACAGGTCTCCTGCACGGGCTGTGTTGGACTGCTGATGTTCAGGCCGGTTAAAAACAACAGACGTCAGTGGAAAGTCCCCACACTGCACTGAAACCTCATGTGATTGATTGTGTGTCTTGTGTATGAGTGTCTGTTGTGAATGAGGGAGTGTGTGTGTGTGTGTGTGTGTGTGTGTGTTTTGTGTATGAGCGAGTGTGTGTGTTGTGTATAAGTATGTGTGTGCACCTGTTGTGTATGTATCTTGTGTGTTTTGTATTGGTGTGTGTGTGTGTGTGTGTGTGTGTGTGTTGCGTATGAGTGTTTTGTGTATGAGGGAGTGTGTTGTGTGTGTGCGTGCGCGCTTGTTGTGTATTTGTCTTGTGTGTTAGTGTGTTTTGTATTGGTGTGTGTGTGTGTTGTGTATTAGGATGTATGTTTGTGTCAGTTGTGTAAGAGTGTGAGTGTGTGTTGTGTATGAGTGTTGTGTATGATGGAGTTTGTGTGTTGTGTATGAGGGAGTGTGTGTGTTGTGTATGTGTCTATTGTGTATACACACACGTATGCCTGTGTCAGTTGTGTGTGGGTGTGTGTGGTTTGTATAAGTGTGGGTTTGTGTGTGTGTTGTGAGTTTTTGTTGCATATGAGGGAGTGTGTGTTTCATGTGGTGTAAGTTGTGTGACTGTGTGTTTGTATAAGGATGTATATGAGTGTCTGTTGTGTGTGTGTGTGTGTGTGTGTGTGTGTGTGTGTGTGTGTGTGTGTGTGGTGTATGTGTGGTGTATGTGTGTCTGTTAGATGTTAGTGTTTTGTATGGCTGTGTGTGTGTGTGTGTGTGTGTGTGTGTGTGTGTGTGTGTGTGTGTGTGTGTGTGTGTGGCGTATGTGTGTCTGTTAGATGTTAGTGTTTTGTATGGCTGTGTGTGTGTGTGTGTGTGTGTGTGTGTGTGTGTGTGTGTGTGTGTGTGTGTGGTGTATGTGTGTCTGTTAGATGTTAGTGTTTTGTATGGCTGTGTGTGTGTGTGTGTGTGTGTGTAATGAACTAAGAGAGCTGACAGGAGAAAGGTGTAAGAGGTTTCAGGACAGGATGAGTGGAAATAAGAAAGACAGAGAGGAGTGTGTTCAACATCAGATCAGAATCCTCATATGCATAACAGACGGTTTCTCCGCTTCCTGTTAGAGACAGGAAGTCTCTGAGTCAATGCGGCACTGAAGAGGTTTGTGTGTGTTCCTTTTTTAGTGGTGTTTGCACAAAGTCATGCCTCTTATTATCATGCTGTGAGCTTTAATGCAGGTTATGACTGAGTTCATCTATAATATAGGTAAAATATGGCCAGTGGTGTAGAGTAGCTAATTACAAATACTCAGATGACTGTAATCGAGTCGTTTTTTCTCAGGAATTGTAATTTAGTAAGTGGTTTAAGTAATGTGAACTTTTACTTCTCCTTGAGTACATGTTTAGTGCTGTATCGGTACTTTTACTCCACTACT